GACAGACCTGCTTAGGTCATTTGGCTCCTGGTAACAGCTCCGTTCTGCGCTCGTCTTGCTCGTAGCATGTATTCCTCAGCAGGGCTGGAGGCCTCCGCCCGAAAAACCCGGGATGTTTCACAGGCTTCAGCAGGGAATGAACGCGGAGCTTGAACCCCTAGCCAGCCCTGACGAATGAACATCGCTGTAAATGGCTCAAGTCACATCAAATATATAGGGCTAAACATGGATATTCATTATATAACCAGAGGGACTCAATTGACTTTGTAAAGCAATTAAAAGAAGACAGAAACTTAAAAAGTCTGCTTCAGGAAAAGAGTAATGTCTGTTTAAAAATAACTTCCTACCCAAAATAGCCTGCCTGTCTCACATTATATCAATTTGAGGGGCAGGACACACGTAGGCATTTACAGCACTGCTTCTTTATGGAAAAGTCAAAACCCAAGTTTCAAAAAAAACCCAGAAGTTGACAGTTAGGTGTCCAGATCCACATTTAGGCATGTAAACAAAGGCTTTTGCCTTTTGACTGGCCAAAGAGCACATCAAAATTTAGCATCCCCTTGATTTTATTCCCCATGGGCAGGTTAAGGCTATGAAAAAGCCTGTGTTCCTGTGGACAGGTTTAAGGAGTTAGAGGGTTCACTTTTTTAATAGAGAGTACAGTTTACTATTGCTCTGTTGCTCTGGATTATTCTAGTAGTCCAATAGTCTGTCTCTTTTTCTTTTTTTTTTTTTTTTTTTGAATGTGTTTTTCTTGCTTCAAAGCAGATAGGCAAGGATACCTTTCAAGCATATTAATCAGAGCTGGAGTTTGTTCCTCTGACCATAAGTAAAGCAGACCTGTATGAAAACTTCATTAACATAAAACACCTGCTCCAGCAGGCATCCCGATGGAAAATTAGCATATTCTTGGATACTTACTGCACTTTAGTTTTGCTTTGAGTGGTATTCATAATACCCTGTTCTTTATAGCATACCCTCTGAAAATACCATTGAGGGATCTGGATCCAGCTGTCAATGAGCACATCATACCTGTTCAGGCCGATAGCCACGGCATCCATCCCTCTCTCTGCCTCCCAGATGGACTGAATGCCAGGATCAGACATCTTCAAATATCTGCTGGTGCACCATCTTCAAAGCAGCATAGTCAAGACAGAGAAAGGAAAGCAACAAGACTGTCCCTACATGACTCACAAGGTCTTTGCACTTCAATGTTCACCCTTCCATCACTTCAGAAATCAGCTTCTAGCAATGGGCTAAAAAAACCTATGGGAGTTACTTTTGTCTTCAGAACTTCTGCTCCACCTTTTTTTATTGCTATCCTGATTTAAATATATTAGAAAGAAACAGCATGTTTGGTTGGTCTACTCAATACTGCACTTAATTATTCCTTCCAGGAGTATCATGCTTTAAGTTTTCCTGTGACATTTTCCCTTCTGCCCTGTTGTGAACATGACTATAGTGGGATTTACAAAAGGAAAGAGTTTAATGCATACAGACATGACAGCAGGAAAAGGAGCTGAGGTTGTGTTTGTCTTCATTTTTATTTCAAAACTATAGTGAGAAAGAGCTTCAAAAACTACCTGAAAGCTCTCTGAGAAACAGCATTTGGGAGCCAGGGGCTAATACCTTTATACTTCAGTAGAATCTCTTTGCTTTTATGTCACTGTTTCTAAAGTAAAAACAAGCCGAAAACAGGGAGAAAGAACATCAATTCTGAGTGCCTTCCTCAGGAAAAATTTTACTGAAACTATAAAGTTTGTATAAACAAGGACTTCTTGATATGACAGCAAGAAACTTTTAACTCTTGCATGGCAATTTCAAAATCTCTGGGTGAGAAGAGATGGGGTCGTATGAAGCAATCCATGGTAACACAAATAGCTCCATTTCCACTCTCTTCAATGAGTTCAATAAGCTTCTTACTTGCATTTTCAAATGTGACTGAGCCAGTAACATTACCTTCACTGTTAAAACTCCAAGAACACTTAGCAATATATATATATATCAGTCTTTTAAGTATCCTGTTTTTCTTTAAAAGGCCTTCACTTTTAAAAAATAAATACTACTAAAATACACTTAGAAAGGGAGAGTGTGTATCTGCTCTACTGCTTTAAAATTGAATTCCTTCCCAAATTCTGCACTCTTATTCACCTGCACTTACCAGCAATAAAAACCACACAAAATCCTGAACCTAAGAACATCAAATTATGTCTATATTGGGTGCTTTAGTATGCTTAAGTGTAAATGCATCCTGCAGCTGTTTCAGCTGGTTTTCAGGTGAGTTTAGCCTAGCACACGGGCCAGAAGACAGCCACTCTGTGTTCCAACACTTACCCCATCTGGACAAAAAGGGAAGGCAGATTCCACCTATCTGGAAGTCCACATTCCCACTAACATGAGCAAATCAAAACTAATTAGCTTCTCTGTGGCTGTCTTGACAGATTTTTAAAAGATAAAGAATTTTTCAAAAAAGTTCTCTGCTGTTCACTGCATAAAGGTACATGAAGGCTTCTTCATCGTGTACAGGAAGCACAGCTAGACACTTTCTTTTGTGCAGCTATCCGATTCCCAGATTTACTAAGACATTGAGGTGCTGGAGCATGTCCAGAAAAGGGCAACAAACCTGGCGAAGGTCTGGAGCACACATCTTATATGAGGAGTGGCTGAGGGAACTGGGGGTGTTTAGGCTGGAGAAGAGGAGGCTGAGGGGAGACCTTATCGCTCTCTACAACTACCTGAAAGGAGGCTGTAGTGAGGTGGGGGTCGGTCTCTTCTCCCAAGTGACAAGCGATAGGACAAGAGGAAATGGCCTCAAGTTGTACCAGGGGAGGTTTAGATGGGATATTAGAAAACTTTCTTCACCAAAAGGGTTGTCAAGCAATAGAACAGGCTGCCCAGAGAAGTGGTGGAATCACCATCCCTGGAGATATTTGAGAGATGTGTGGATGTGGTACTTAGGGACATGGTTTAGTGGTGAACTTGGCAGTGCCAGGCTAATGGCTGGACTCAATGACCTTAAAGGTCTTTTCCAACCTGAACAATTCTGTGATTCTATGATTCTAATTTGAATTCCAGATCTGCATGGTGCTTTACTTTTACAATAGTCAAAAAGTCTGTAGCTTTATACCACGGTAAAGAAATAATTAAAAAAAGCATTATTACATCCATCTTATATCTAGTTTATTTAATACCGTAGCAGTAAATACAGAGAAGAGTTCTCAAATCTGGCAATGCTAGAGCTGGTGAGGTAACAGCTACCTGACAGATCAACAGTCTATTAATAGCTCTGGAATTCCATGTGTGCTGGAAATCTGTAGGGTGTTAAATGAGTAGTTTTTAAGTTAAGTCTCAGATACTGACAATACAGTTAAATACACTACTTCTGATAGGGCAGAACAGCATCTGCATAGAAATAAAGCAACACTGCCTGTCAACACTGAGAACTGTATTAGTAGTCCTTAAACAAGTGAAACAAACAGTATGTTTTCCTTTAAAAAGTCAGTCATCTTTGGTCAACACTTACTAAAATGTGCTTTAGTTTTATTTTACAACAGTAATGCTAAGATTATATAGGGTTTTTTATGTTACCTTATGGGGGTGGACCTTTGAAAATCAGTATTGTGCTGTGACTGATAAAGTAATCTTACTAGTTTAATGCAGGTAAAATTTCAGAGCAGAGGTAGGCTTCAACTCAGCCGCTTACAGAGACCGAATCCCAGCTGTCCCCTGGAATGGGTAAGAGGCAGCAATTCATCTTCAGATCACTTCTCTTCATAATTTCTGTATGAACGCAGCACTTGCAAACATGCTGGGCTAAGCCCTTATTTAGTCGTCTACAGTAAGAGCTCTGAATATCAATTGACAACATATTTAGACCCATCTGATGTTTAATATCCACTTTTGAAAAGTGTAGCTAACATACTGCTTAGTGCTCTCTCAAGTAGCATTTCAATACCATAGGGATGACTAGCTGTGAAGACATTTTGGAGCACAGGTCTTACCAGCAGGCTGACCTTTAAATCCAGGCAGACATCATAAAGAACTTGTGCTCTTTACGCATTCACGTGCTTTTCCAGCTTCCACTTCCATCTAAAATTGAACAGGCACATCCACCTTACAGGTAAGGAAACTTTATTACAGCTCATGAAAACTGCTCTGTGAAAGGGATCAGCCCAAGATGGTACCCCGGCCTTATACTGGCCCTAATCCTAAAATTACTTCACTAAACACTGACCTTGCCAAGCCAGTCCAATGCTCACTGATTAACATTTCACTAACATTTCAGTTCCCACCCTCCTCAACTCTCTCTACTTACTTTCATCACTCAAAAAATCCAGAAAGATACTGAAATGGGAAACAAAACTGCTTTGTTTATCTGCTTCCCTACTTCTGCTGCCTCTGCAACGCAGCTTTGCAGATGAATACCTTTTGTAGATTTGGTATCTAAGCATTTAATGCATATGAATTTCAGCAGGTGTCAGGCACCTTTAGGCACACAAGGATCTGAGCCATCCTTCCTTAAGTTAAATACAAATACATTATCACAGGATGCAGCAGTATTTTGCTTTTCTTTAGTGCAAGTGTTCTTGCACAAAAGAACTACTCAGAATTCTGAAGTAAGATTTTGATCAGCCAGGCTGAGTTTATTGGAAATAACTGTTTATACTTCAGTTGCACCTAGAAGCTCTATCCAAGACCATGTTCATGTTGAATAAATACAGACTAAAACTCTCCTCTGAAGAACTTAGGAGATAAAAGGTGAGAGGAGCAGCTTAGCCTTTAAGTGACATAGCCCTAACAGTAAATCTGTAGTAGAACTGGAAATAGAAGGTCAGGTCTTCTAGGTCTAGACCCTGTCCACTTGACCATACTATCTCCTGCCTTTGGTTTCTACTGTCTTACTCCTCCAGCCATTGACCTTTGGAGGAAACTGACTGAATCCCAAGAGCTGCCTGTGCTCCATTATTTCAGCTTGTTCCTACTTCAAGACTAACCATCTTTTACACAGATTTCCTTCTCTTTCCAAACATGTTGTTGATTAACTTGGCCATTGACTTTGATCCACTTGGTCGTCTCTTTTCCTTCGCTTTGAAATTTGAGGTGATATTCCTCAGGACTTTCGTGAACATTGCCACAACTTCCTGATAATGTTCTGCTGCAGACAGTTCACAGAATTGGCACTTGTTATCTATTGCCAGCTTCTGTCCTTCATCCCAGCCAACTTCTCTGATGTGGCATAAATCCTGTTTATTACCAACCAAAAATACTGATGACTCGACCATTCTGAAATCAAAAAGGTTCTGATTAGAGAAAAGATAGGTTACGATACTGTGCTGTACATTGTGCTATATACAGTGAGTATGAAAAGTACGTATGCTCAGGATAACAGACATTGCAAAAAACCCCAAAAAACCAAACCAACCCCCTAACCTTGCCAGGTCGAGTTATAGTTTTCCATTTGCCGTAGTCAAACGTCAAAGGATTTTCCAGACAAGCTATTCTCTATCAGAAACTTTTCAGTTTGGTTCCTCTGCTCAGTGAATTCATGTATTTTTCATCCACTGCAGTTTTCATAGTCTGTACTGCTGAGTATATCGTCAGCTCCTGGACTTCATGAAGAAGCAAGCTGATCATTATCTTCATTTATAGGTAACAGAATAGAATCAGAGAGACGCATCAGTGTCAGTGGCACAATTCAGAACACAGGAATACTAATTCCAAGCTTTTGCTAAAATTACTCCTTCCAGAAAAACCTTAATTAAGAAAGATCAGCAGTAAGACAGTAAAGTGTTATTTATTTTTTTTTACTCAACTTCTGATATAAGGAAAGGATTTCACTCTCATTTATTCAGAAAGCACCTCAGCTGACTGATGCAGGAATACCCAGCACCACATGTACTCAGACTTGCAATTTCAGTGGTTCTTTTTGAAAGCAAGTAGTCTGTTTCTTACCATGTGGTCACCCATGTGCACAAATAATGCTAAAGGCAATTTAGGAGACTTTCGTGGTATTAAAACTATTTGTGGGAAAAGCTTTCTTCAGCCCCCACGTTGGTGCATCTCCGTTGGTAATAGAGTAGGGAAGTAAAAGCACAGACTGACTATGCCAGCTTTTACCCATGTAAATCACAGCAGACACATTTATGGCAACTATTTAAATAGTCGTGCTGTAAGAACAAAAATCCTGATGTACTTTGCTTTGGAATCAGTGAAATAGATTGCACCACAGTTTACCTTCAGGTACCTTACTGTTGGTATTGTGTTATGCCACTTGGATGCTGCTGGATTTTAATTGCTACTAGGATGCCTACAGCTTACAGAAACGTTCTCGGCTTTTTTTGTATGTTTGCTGAGGGGGAAAAAAATAATGCTACTTACTTTTTACAAGCTCCTATGTGAGACTCTCGGATCCTGTACAGCAATGCTTTTGCAAATGCAAATGACGCTCTGTCACTGATGTCGTAAACAATGATAAATCCATCAGCCCAGTGGAGCTCATCTGCGAGGGAGAGCTTCCCCCGCTGTGGCTGAAAGAAGTTCAAATTCACATGCAAAAAGAATGTTACTGTTGTCACTTCTAGAGCATTTTCTTTTGTCATTGTGAATGTGAGAATGTTGTATTTTTTATTGCAAAAGATAATAATAGGCCTATGTGCTGGCATTAAATTCAGGTGAGTCCTGCTCCAAAAGCTTAATAAATAACCATCACCACAGATGGCACTTTGGATCACTGACAAATTCATTATGAAACATTTACACTTTAAACAGTAAAATTTCATAACCTGTACAGCCACTGCTTATGCAGAATATTCTGCAGTTACATGAGAACGAAACATACAGGAGCCATCAATATCTGTGCAGTTTCTGGTTATAGCTCTGTTTTGCATGTTCCTAATATTCTGACTACAGTAAGCTTAATTATTTTGTTTCTTCATTTGATTTGTTTCTTCTTTGCATTGTTCAAGTCTGAAACAGTATTTACTATAGGATAAATTTCTAGGGAGCTAGAAAAAAAAATCTTTCAATTGATTTTAATAAAACTAATGACAAAAGTCACTCAAGTGATAATGGGGTTACATCAATCCTTGAGTCCCTTCACCCCAAGAAATGGTCACGATTTCTAGAAAGCAACAGCTGCTAACAGTTCCATTAAGCCAAGGAATGTAATTTCAAAACTATTTTAAATTAGCTTATCCCTGCAGATGATTTGGCAGCAGCTAGCATGACCACGCGACCCAAGATAGGTAAAATACTGGAAGCTGACCAGGAAAAAATAAAAATAAAAAATTGACTTTTGTTCTGTGGAAAGCCAATCTTGAAAAGTAATTTGGGACTGTTTTAAGTTGTTCCCTTGCTAGTCTAGTGGTTTGCTACTTGCAATGCATCATCTCCACTGACACCTCAGCCCAGTTGCCTTGTTTAGCTCAGCATCAGGGCACCACTGTAACATCACAAACAGCTAGACTGGCAAGGCTGTAACACGCCATGAGGCATGGTAACAGAACACTGGCAGTGAAAGGGGATGCAGGAGAAAGAAAAGATGAAACAAGTTTCCAGAACCATCTGAACAATTCAGTATCTTTAATACAACAGCTTTTTAATGCTGTGGTGACTGTGCAGCAGGTTTAGGGGCAGGAAAGGTGACTCGTGTGTGTCACAGCTGTTTCCCAGATGGATGAAAGGACAGTGAGCTTTGCAGAACTGGAATCCAGCTACCAAAGGGAAGCCTCACCGAGCAGGAAGTTTTCGGGAAGCAGAAACAAAAATGGCAACTCTTCCTTTGCCAGTCTGGCCTCCTCTTGGGACCTGCTTTTCTTCCCCGACTCCCATGGGATACAGGACCTCCATACCCCATCCATCTCTTTCTAGAATCACCAGTCTTATCAGACAAAAAGCAATCCCACCACTATTCGCTAAACTACTCTCTTGCAGGCACTTGGAAGAAGTCAGGAAGAAAGGAGCAACCAGCTGGAGTTAGGCCTTGTTCCTAAGGAAGAACTGGTACAAGACAGCTCAAAGAGTGCTGGCAAGAAAAGTTGCCCTTAACACAGGTGATCTCTGGTCTCCTTAAAAGCAAAAAGACGCCCAAACTGTAGCAACCAAATTCTCTACCCATAACATAGTCTAATCTGCTTTACCCTAGCTAGCTGCCATTCCCAATGTTTGAAGTATCTTAATAAAGAGTTGTTCACATGTCACAGGACAGTATATGACAGTAAGTTGAAGGTGGGCTTAGGAAAGGGGTCTGAGGTAGGTGGAAGCAAGTTCGCGAAACAGTAACTTCTAACATTGTATGGCAGGGGAGGACTCCGTGATGGTACATGGCACAGTGGCTGTTTCAGGACAAGCCTGCCCTGGGACAAGCAATGCTGTTGCTTGTCTCTAGGAAGGCAGGTTTGTTTGGTGATTCATTTTATGTCCTCACTGGATAAGTTTTTAAGTCCTTGAATTTAAGTCTGGGTCAGAGTTTCAGAATGTTGGCTTTAGCATTAGCATTCACTATCCTAATTGGCAAGAGGCAAGATCGCTGCCCAAAAGGGAACCTTGCGAGCCAAAGTGAACAGTCAGACAGACCTACCTAGGGTCTGCATGTTACACAGTACCCATTTCTTTATTCCTGTAATAGCAGGAAATAAATTAATACAAAAAGCTTTATTTCAAAGTGGGTTTTGTGATCAAAGTTCAGCTGTCAACACACACAGCCTGCATTATGGCTTTCCTTGGATCTGTTCTGTGAATGGAAGTCTTACTTCCAGGCCTGTCTACTTTGACCATTTCTGCAGACATTTAATAAACTGCTTGCTTTGTAAACTAAATTGCATCCATATAGGGTATTTGAGAAAACTGCATATAACCCTGTAACTTATCTCTGTATTTACCTACATGAGGCAGAGATCCAAAAGCATTTACAGAAAATTTAAGCAATGAAGGGCTTCTTCCATGAAATGGGAAAGTACTCAGCAGTTCTGAGCCACAGCAGCTATAAAATTTCAGTCCTTTAAAAAAACAAACAAATACAAATTCCAAGAACAGGCCAAAAGTCTGTAGCCACCTGACCCTTTTTACCATTACAAAGGTATAACAAAGAACAGCCCTACTTTGCCCCCTAAAATTCTTACCTGTGAACAAGGGTCATAAATTTCCAAGTGTATCTGCCTTCCATCCAGGCACAAGTGTTTAGTGTAGACGCATTCTAGAAGATACACAGTATCCAGAGAAAACCAGCATTAGTGACTGGGGATGGTGGTGAAAAGAAAAGGCAGCAAAGGTGAGATTCAGTAATACTGAGGGTTCCTTAACTATTGTTTTTAAGGGGTTTGGCAGTTTTTTGGAAGATTTTTTGGGGTAAGGGGAGGTTTGTTTGGGTTTTTTGTTGTTTTGGTGGTGGGGTTTTTTTGTAGGGTTTGTTGTTGTTGTTTTTCAGGGGGTTTTGGTTTTTGTTTGTTGTTGGGGTTTGGGTTTTTTTTTTTTTTTTTACATACACACATGCAGTGGAAACAAACCTATCTCATTTTCCAACACCCAAGATGCCTAATCTTTTAGGCTGACCAACACCATTTCACTGTGGTGTTCCTATCACTGTTGTGCAATTTACACTTTTGGACCCTAGTTTTCCTCTTCCAAAATGGAGGCAAAGGGGATGCACAATGCTTTGAATTGGCTAAATGCTGGTGACTATGCTGCTTGATACTAAGGCTCAGGATTATGAAAGTACTAAGCCAGCCTATGTGTAAGTTCTGAGTCTGCACAAAAGTAATTCTTTGATAATGATGTTGATTTACCATGAAATCTGGTACTTTAGAGTTCTCATACTAGGTAGCATTAGACCAATAGTATTTATAGGATCATGTCCTTAGACTAGATCCAAAAATATTTCTGTAGCATCAATTCTCAGATTTAGGACTTTCCACCAGCAGTAGCAGCCCTGAGAACTCTACTGCAGGCAGACCATCACTTATTCTAACCAGCAGATTGTTCTAAGAAAGTGTTACCAAGTTGTGTTCATGGCACTAGTCAACAGGCTGTCTACAGTATAATTTCTCAGAGTTACTGAACTAGAGAGACAAGAACTGGTGTTGGCACTACTGAAAATACACTTCAAACTGTGTAATGAGGGCATAGATACGGTCTATGATTTCCGGAACACAGCTTCTTCACTTCAGCACCATGTTCACCTTAAGCATTCTCCGTGCACATCTTAGGAGTTCCTCATCGGATGAGCTATCAGTCCCGAGCAGCCCAGCATATAAAATCTGCAGCCTCTTGGTGGTTTCCATAATTAAAACTTTGACTCCACTAAGAGTGGGATGATTTTTGTTTTATCACCCATATTCCCAGTTCCCCCCCTCCCCCTTCCTCCTCTCTAGAAATAGAGCTAAACTTGTCTTCCAACAAACATTTGTTAACAAATGAAAACATTCTGGGGGTTTGACATGCCTTTTCTGAGACTTGCAGTATTGGAGGCTTAGAACAGTGAAACCTGTTTTCAGTTGTAGGTGGCTTAGAACACACATGGAACAGAGAGCACCGAGTAACTTACACGTGACAGCTTAGACTGTCTTTTCAGTCTGCATTTGTATAGCAACAAGTATTGGTAGAGCATTTGTGTACCACTGTAACTCTACTTTCAGAATAAGTTCATTTGGATATATATTCAATGCAATTCAGCTTAGTACGTCTATTCTTTTTCATAAATGGATTATGGGAAGCTACTCTGATTTTTATAAAAAAGTGACTTTAAAGAGTTCTTCACTTTAGCATGGAAAGTGAGATAGATGGCAATCTCCGTTCCTTGTTAAGTTTTAGGACCTCTCACATGCCCCATGAGCTGGAGTGGCACACCTCCAAGGGTGTTCATGTATCGGTGCTCCTACCCAGGATGTGAAAGTTCAAGTCCTACTTTGCCATCTTCCAAGATCTTAGAAGTGTCTTAAGGATGAGCATATTTGTTCTGGCATGAATGGGGAATTCTATCCTGGGCATAGCAAGGCTTTCCACAAAGCTATCAAATCACAGCATTCCCACAAAAGCAGGGGGCTTTGCATCATGCTTTGATTAACCCGTAGTGCCTAATAAACAATCTATTTCACCTCTCCTCTAGAGCTGAGAGATATCCAATACAACAGGTGTTGGGTTGGGGGTTGTTTTTTTTTTCTTTTTTATTTTTTTTCCCAGTCTATTTCTTTAGTCTCTTCTTCATCTTGAGTTTACTGTAACCCGCGCTTCCCACACGCAGCCGGTTATCTTCCCAAGTCTCTTCACAGTCGCTTTGCGACCAGCGCTCCGCCAGTCCCCGCGCCCTGCTGCGTTAGCGGAGCTTTAAGCGACTTCCCCTCTTCAGGGCTTACATCTGATCAGCAACTCTCGCTGATAAGCAAGAGAAAACTTAAAATCTTTCCCCAAAGTTCTGCGGAACTGCGTTTCGACTCACGTTTCTCGTTCCAGTAAAAATTTGGAGCGCCGCACCTCGCGTTCCCCGGGGAACCCGCCCCGGCCCGGCCCCAGGAGGCCCCACACG